GACCAGCAAAGTCGACTCCACTATGAGAGAATGGACGCGTTGCGGTCAGGTAAATCACCCATCACTTGTTGTTTGAAAGTAGCTCGTTGCCGTGCACAATAAGACATCTTTGTACGTACTTTTTCACCAAACTCTTGCAGCCAATGATCCAGTATTTACTCATGAGGTATGCAACCATAAGTTTAATTCCACCATGCATTGTTTTCTGATGTGCGTCAGCAAGAATCAGTGTTACGAAGGTGTTTCTCTTACCTATGATTATAGGGTGTTTTATGTCTTCATCGACGTGTGCATTTCTTAATCTACCGCCCACCCTGAGTATATTTCGTTCATCAATGTATGGGCTTAGCGTCTTCAATATGCTCGTGGTCTTCACAGGGTTGTGGTCCTTTAATCTTCTTATCTCGTCTGAAAATTCTTCTTGTTGTACTTGTCTTATACAAATATCTAAAGCATTGTGTATTTCTTCTACAGTCAATTCATAGTTAGGAATCTTTTGATCCCTTTTCCTATTTAGAAATCTTTTACATATTACTATTACTCTTAACAGCTCAGGATCATTTGAGGCCCATTTCTGAAGTTTGAATCCACCTCGTTCAAGAATTGTCATGATTTGTTTGCTGATACGGGTTGCTTGTTCTGTTGTGTCACAGCCTGAAGTCAAATCATCTACGTAAAAGTCTTCACGAATAATTCTAGCAGCTTCAGAATATTATTCACCCTCATCATCTGCGAGTTTCATTAAAGTTTTGACAGCCAGGTAAGGTGCACATGCTGTACCAAATGTGACAGTTTTCAATCTGTAATCTTTAACATCCGCTAGCTGGTCACCAGTTCTGTCTGAGTTGTTACGACGCCAGAGTATTCTGTGGTAGTCTGTATCCTTCTTCTCCAAGAGAATCATTCTTTACATTTTCATTATGTCGCTTGCAAAGCATACCTTATGCATGCGCCATCTCATTATTATGCTTCGCATATCTTCTTGAAGTACCGGTCCAGTCATGATCTCATCATTCAAAGATATGCCATTATTAGCTTTGCACGAAGCGTCAAATACAACTCTGATTTTACTTGTCTCCTTATCTCTTCGAATAACGGCATGATATAAATAAACAGAACGATTGTTTACTTCATTTTTCGGAACTTCTTCCATATGTCCCATTGCTAAGTATTCTTCTAATACCTTGTCGTACTCTTCTTTTAAATCCGGTGTTTTGTATAGTCTTTTTTCTTGCTGAATCAAGCGCTTCATTGCGATTTCTCTCGTATTTCCATCCGGTGTAAAAATGTCATTGGAACGAAATGGAAGTCTCACAATGTATCTTCCCTCGCTGTTTCTTCTATAATTCTCTTCATAGAATTTTTCACATCGTTTTTCTTCTTTAGTGAGCTTTCTTTTTGAATCTTGGTCTTTTTCCCAAATTGCCTTTAAGAAATCTTCTGCTACGATCTGATGATGCATAACCAGTACTGACTCTGCTTGTTGTGGTCTATCATCTATATTCCCGAATAAAATCCAGCCAAGGTTTGTTTTATGAGCGTACGGAGACCCTGGTGGACCCTTGATTAATTCATTTTCCACTATACGTGCGTATACGTCAACACCCAGGAGCAGGTCAATAGAACCTGGTTTGTAGTAGTTTGGGTCAGCCAGTTCTAACCCATCTAAATGAGGCCAATTGCCCTTTTTGATTATATGGGAAGGTATTTTAGTTGTAAGTTGCTTTGAAATAACATAAGTTCTGACTTCTAGGTTGTAAGCTTCGCATCTCGACTGTACGTTGATCTGAACTACTTGTTTTAAATCTTCTCTAGTTGATCCAACACCAATGACCGCACACCTAATTGGATATCTCCTAGCCTTGAGTAGTTGTGCAGCACGTTCACTTATGAAGCTAGCTTGGGAGCCTTGGTCAATTAATGCTCGCAGCGTGGTCATATGTTTTCACTTCTTACCCTTACAATTGCTGTTGCAAGTAATGCTGTACTTTCTTTGTTAGAACTGTGTGCAACCACTGTAATGCTTTCTTTCTCTCCTTCATTCTTCTCCACGTTTGTATGTAAAGCCACTTCAGGTTGTTTTGTAAGTACTTTATCAGAATTGCCTGTTGTGCTTTCACTCACGTTGCTTTCCTTGTATTCGTGAAGAAGGGAATGGTGCCATTTGCATAACCGACAGCATGTTGGAATACGACATTGCCTTACAGAGTGTCATGGTGAAAGGCAATTGAAGCACAAGTTATTAGTTTTAATGAATTCACTTCGTTGTAGTGGTGAATGTTTTCCGAACACTTTACAATGGCTAAGTGTATGATTTTCATTGCACATTTGACATTTTTTGCAGGTTTCAACGTTGGTTGTAATGTGATAGGACTTCTCTCGTTGGATGACATTATTCAATCTTTGTTTTGTCGGTTCTGTGAGCTTAAACGTGCGAAAACGATTTTCTAAAAATTTACGAAAAATATCAAGTGATGGAAGACTATCAGGATCTTGACAATTGTTGCTAACGTATTCTTCCCAGTCTTTATGCGTCTCAGAGTCTAGTTTCTGCACAGTCACAAATATTATCATAGGATCCCAGTTTTCAATATTTACCTTCATGGTTTTAAGCTGATGCAAACATTCGAACGTAGTATCTAGCAAACTCTTAATATGATTTGAAGAATTTACGGTCATCTTCTTTTGTGAAAAAAGTTTTTTCATGACAGCGTGGATAGTTATTCGTTTATTACCATATCGTCTTTTTAATATGTCTCATGCTTGTTCATAGTTCGAATCTGTTACTTGTACATGTTTTAATATAGACTCAGCTTCACCAGTAAGACTTGTTTTCAAATAATGCAATTTCTGTACATTATTAAGCGTTTCGTTAGTGTGAACCAAGTGTAATAAACAAGTCACGAAACGATAACAACTCTTCATAATGCCCACTATAGGTTGGTAACTGTATTTTGGGTAACACTACACGAGTTTGTTGAGATTGAAATTCTTTTGATATTAGTAACGGAGCACTGTCACTAACTTGTTGGGATACTAACAAATCTTTAAGCTCAGTTTTCAAGGTAATGTATATTTCTTCATGGTCATAAAACTCCTCCTGCGCAATGTACGGTATTTGCTCCGTTTTTTCCCTCGATATGTTGCATATAATTTGGTCGTAAGCTTCTTCATATTCGCATCAATAATCTTCTAAACATTTAAGGCGTGATTCGACGTAATTTCGTGTTAATCTTGCTTTTGGGCACTTTTTCAGGTTAACTTGTGTTTTCTTCATAGTGTGTGCAATGTTTTCCACTTTAATCAATGCTTTTTCCACTTCTGTAGCCATTATTTATACGAAGTAGATATAAAATCTTTAATCACAGCAAAGTAAAAATGAAACAGTTTTAAACTCAAACTCATATAACTTGTAAACAAGTCGACCCTTTTCTTATCTTTTGTTCTCGGGCAGCCGCTAACGGAGCAGGTAAACGTCACTGTATCCGGCTTGAATTTGGACCATATGTTGATTTGAATAAGGTCGTCACTTGGTTGGATATAGTAAAATAAAACTCAACACGTATGCTCTGTTCAACGTTCTATTGGACACTAAATGTAAATGCAAACAAGGAATGTGAGCGTAATAAACAAATACATTATTTAGTCAAACATGGAGTGACAATGGTTTGAACTTTGTTGGCGCTGCAAATGAACTTACAAGAATGCTTAATCAAAGCATGACGAACGTATTAAAGGAGATAGCAGAAATGCATGAAAGTGATGGAGCTTCATGGCGCTTTATTCCCCCAAAATCACCGAATTTTGGAGGCCTATGGGAATCAGGCGTGAAATCTGTTAAGGCACATCTGATGAAGACAGTTGGTAATTCGACACTTACCTTCGAAGAATTTTCTATGGTCCTTTGTCTGTCTTTGTTGTCATGTCGTACGTGTCTTTGTTGGTTCTGAATTCACGTACGCTTAGCAGTCTCAGCGATGATCCGAACGATACCTCCATTAACTCCAAGTCACTTTATAGTAGGAGAACCTTTGATAGTGATACCAGTACCTAACAATATTACTGATAAAATAAGTCCTCTCCAACGCTGGAAACTGACACAAAATATATTGGACTGGATGGTCAAAAGAATATTTGAATACTTTGCAACAAAAACACAAATGGCACACGAAGATGGATGCACCAAGGTTGGGCGATTTGGTCGTAATAAAAGAGACAGACCTCCCTCCAGCAAAATGGTTACTGGGACGAATAACACAGCTTCATCCTGGACCCGATGATCAAGTCAGGGTAGTAAGTTCGAAGTGCAGAGGGTCGACCCTGAAGCGTTCTGTATCTAAGCTGATCCTGTTACCATGAAGAAGAACGGAGTCCTTGGTGGGCGGGATGTTGACGAGATTTTAGCTTCGAATAACAGATGGCGCTGATTGTCACTTAATTCGCGCTATACCAGCGATTTTTCTATACCATAATATTGTTGTTTTTTTAAAGTATAGTCAGTTCTTTATTACAGAATCATTCCTTCAAATAGTGTTTTAATTTAGTCGGTAATTTCTCGGATCAACCGATTTTCTCCTGTTTACATACATAAATTTCACAAGCACCAACATCCAGACCCGGAATTATTTGTAGGTCATACAAATACTTGTTACTTGCGGAACTTATAATTATGATTGAGTTTTTGTTGGTTTTTTGCTTAAGAAGGGGGCAAACGAGCACACGGATGACCTGATGGTAAATAACTATTGCCGCCCAAGAACAACTGCACCACCAGGGGAGTTGCAGATACGTTTCTGGCTTTAAAAAGAAGAGTAGTCTTTTCTTCAATGTTCTTAAGTCGTATCGGTTTGAGAAAATCGCTGGTGGTAGCCGATTTCACAAGAAACTTGTGCGAGGAAGAAAACTTCTTGTAAATCGCACAATGGTGGACCGCTCATTGTCTAGACAGTATGGATAGTATGATTATATGTTGATTAAATAGGTGTTGCACTTGATTCCAGGGTGGGTGTGCTGGTGGTTGGAGTGCACTGACGCTGGCGAGCGGCGGGCTGCTCACGTTGCACGCCGTGCTGTTCGCGCCCGGCTACAGGCTGGCGCCGCACCAGCTCACGCAGCTCCTACTCGCAGCTGCGGTGAGTACTTCTCCGCTGTACTTTGCTACACAAACATTATATATATATATATATATATATATATATATGTATCTATATATAATCGGAATCTCGGAAACGGCTAAGGATTTATTTTTAGAAAATGTCTTTTTGTCCGTGTTTTTAGGCAATGAAAAACTGCTACAATATCGTTAGAATAAGAAGGTAAATTTTGACAGTTTATTAATGATTACAAATAGTTTAATTGGTATATTGGGCGGTCACAAAATTGTAATACCATGGTTCGAGCCCAGACCGACCGACCGACTTTTTTTTTAATTTTTTTTTCAAATTCCTTTCTTTTTTGAGAAATTCTGTTTCGAGCCCTTTTTTTAGTATTTTTTAAAAACACGAAAATTTAAATTAAACTAATTGCACTCATGATTTTTTATTCAAATAACCAGTTCAGTTTTTTCTATTATGTCGCTACGATCAAAAAATATTATTCGTATTTCATCAGTATGTAATTTGTATCTAAATACATTACATAAACACTCACGCCTGTCACCCAGAGGGGTAGGCAGAGACTACAGACTTCCATTTAGCATGATCCTGACATACCTTTCTCGCCTCTTCCACATCAATATACCTACGCATACATGCTCGTCGGTTAAGGGTACTCTTAATTTGGCGCATTTTTAGTATATCGCCAATTTGGTCGACAAACTTCCGCCTAGGACGTCCCTTTCCGACTCTTCCTGAATGGAAGAGTCGGAAAGTCGGAAAAAGCAAATATATGTTTCAGAAGTGAACTTCTGAAACATATATTTGCTTTGTCAGTCTTTCCGCATTCATTCTTTCTACATGACCAAACCACCGAAGCATTCCTTTCTTAATCCTGGTCACCGCATCATCTTGCAAACCACACTCTTCTTTTATCACACAGTTTCTCACCCTGTCACTCAGATTCAGCCCTAACATACTCCTTAGCGACCGCATTTCTACTGCATTTATTCTACTCTCGTGCTTCTTCTGCCACACCCAACTTTCACTACCATACGTTAAATTAGGGACTAATACAGCACTGTGAATTGCTATACGTGCCTTTTTTGACACATTCTCACAATAGAGTGTAGAGCCCCATTTACTTTATTTCCTGCATTCACTCGTCGTTCAATATCCTTATCATATCTCCCACCCCTGCTGAATACACATCCCAAATATACGAACTCATCCACTTGCTCAATTAACTCTCCTTCTATTCTTATTTCACATACCGTTTTGCTTTCATCTCTTTCAAAAACCATCACTTTCGTCTTACTTGCGTTCACTTTCATTCCCCTTTCTTTTAATGACCTGTTCATTAATGTAATCATCATTTGCAACTCGGCCGCCGACGACGCAAGTATGACTTGATCATCGGCGTACAAAAGGCATTTGATGGTTAACTCACCCATTCTTAACCCGCATTCTTCAACTTTTCCAAACAGCTGTCCATAAATAGGTTGAACAGCCACGGAGAAGCTACACAGCCCTGTCTGACACCTTTATGGATGCCAAACCAGTCCGAGTAGACCCCATTGATTCTAACACAAGCACTCGAGTCCCTATACAGAGACTTTAATGCCTGTATCAAACCAGCGCTCAACCTAAATGCGTTCAGCGTTTGCCATAACACATCCCTGTCCACTCTGTCATAAGCCTTTTCCAAGTCCATGAACGCACAAAAAACTTTTTGGTTTTTCGCCAAAAACTTCTCCGCGATCATGCGCATGGAAAAGACTTGATCTGTACACCCCATTCCCTTTCTAAATCCCGCTTGCACATCCCAAATTTTTTCATCAGTTTCTTTCATAACTCTTTCAATTAGTACCTTAGCATACAGTTTTCCCATTGTGGGAAGGCTGATACCACGGTAGTTTTTACAGTCCTGCTGTGACCCTTTTCCCTTATATATTGGGACTATCACGGCTTTGCACCAGTCTCCCGGTACCCGCTTTAGTTCCCAACATAAATTAAACAAGGTGTACAGCAGGCCTGCCACCACGTCCACTCCAGCCCTTAGCATTTCGAGTGAAACTCTATCATATCCGGCTGCCTTACCTACTTTCATGCTTTTCATTGCTTTCATTATTTCATCTATACTTATCTCCCTATCTCTTTCATCTTCTTTCGGAATTTCTATTTCATTTAGTTCACACTTCTCCTCACTCATAAATTCGCTTTCAAAATATTCCTTCCATCTCTTTAGACTCAACACTTCATCATTCAGGATACAGCCATTCTCGTCTCGTATCGCATTCAATCTAGGCTGTTTTGAAAGTCCCCTGGTATTTCTTACGAGTTTCCAGAACATTTTAATATTTGCCTGGAAGTTATCCGATATTCTTCTATCATTCCTATCCGTTCTTTCTTGCTTTTTCCTTTCAACTAATTCTTTTACTCTCTTATTTAAACGTTTAAACTCTGCCTTTTTTCTTTCATTCTCATCATTCTTACCGCCAGAGTTACCAGCTTTGGTCGCTAGTAAATCTAGCCATGCTCTCTTCTTTGCTTCAACTTCCATACGTACCTCATCATCCCACCATAACGTATTGTCTTTCCTTTCATTCGTTCTCTTACTAACACCACATACTTTGGTAGCTGCATCCACTAAACCTTTCTTAACATTATGCCACACATTCTCCAAGTCTAACTCATTCACACACAACTCATCCAAATTACTTATATTTTCTCTCAGTCTGCATTTGTACTTGTCTTTCACATCTTCATCTTGTAACCTCTCAATTCTTATACGCTGTAACGCAATGGTAGACACAGATGTCCTATGCCGCCAACGTCTGAATAAACCCCTAATTCGGCATAAGACCAGGTAGTGGTCCGTCCCTACGTTGGACCCCCGGTAAACCCTTGTATCCACCACTGCGCTCCTCATTCTTTCATCCACGGTTATGAAATCTATCATGCTTCTATCATCACCTCTTTCCCAAGTATACATGTGAATCTTCTTATGACGAAAGAAAGTGTTCGTCACAAAAAGATTCCTTTCCACACATACGGTGAGGAGGCTTTCACCATTCTCATTTATACTTTCATTACCAAACGTTCCCAATATCCTTTCATAACCAAGCCTCCTCACCCCAACCCTTCCATTAAAATCTCCTAGCATAATAATATTTTCATTTCCCTTACACTTCATTTACACCATCCTTACCATTTCCCAAAACTGCTCCCGGATATAAGTGGGCTTTAGACATGTCTGGGGCGTAGACCCCTAACACAAACAACTTCTTTAAGCCCACTTTCATTCGTATCCATAGCAGTCTTGGGCTTACACATTCATACTCTTTCACACATTGGCCCATTCGTTCTGAAAGGATGATACCTACTCCCTGGCATGTCCGCTCGATCTCGTCTACACCAGACCAGTATGCGGTATACATGCCATGTGCAGTGACATTCTTCCCCTTCCTTTTCATCTCATTTACACATAATACATCTATTCCTCTATCATACATCATATCGCATACTTCATCCATTTTATCATTCATTGCCCCACATACATTCAACGTAGCCAGACGGGCCTCTGCAATCCACTTTTCGCCTCTCAGGAGACAGAACGTGACGGGTGGCGAACCTCGTCGCCGGTTTTCCTCCCGGAGATTCTTCGCACCCCTGCCCCATTAAAGGGGCGCCGGGAACTCGGGGCCATTTCTTTTACTTTTTGCCTCATGGTGCGAAAACTAGGGCGTGGCATATTTTACGCCGCTACCTAAATATAAATATAATTTCCAAAACACACGAATTAAAAAAAACCGAGCGAAAAATACCGAGCAAAGCTCGGTCAACCGGGTACTACATATATATATATAATCGGGATATCGGAAACGGCTCCAACGATTTTCATAAAATTTAGTGTCCAGGGAGTTTCGGGGGCAACAAATCGATCTAGCTAGGATTTATTTTTAAAAATTGTCCTTTTATCCGTGTTTTCAGGCAATAAAAAAACTGCTACAATATAAGAAGGTAAATTTTGACAGGTTACCGACGATAGCTCAGATGGGATGTTGTTCGGGCGTGATATCGGAGTTCCGTGGTTCGCGTCCCGTCTTGGGTCCGACATTTTTTCCTTTTTTTTTTCAAGTTCCCTTCTTTTGTGAGAAAATCTATTATTTCGAGCCCTTTTTTTAGTATTTTTTAAAAATACGAAAATTTTAATTAAACTAATTGCACTCATGATTTTTTATTCAAATAAGCAGTTCAGTTTTTTCTATTATGTCAATAAGATCAAAAAATATTATTCATGTAAATTGTATCTAAATGTAATTTTAAAAAAACCGAGCAAAGCTCGGTCATCCGGGTACTTATACTAATTCCAAAGAATGTTGTGGTCACAGTACAAATCCTCAACGCAAAGACTTTCGTGTTAATAAAGTTCATTTTTCTTTATATTTATTGAATGACAGGATTAGTAATAATACAAATAAAACTGCACTCTTAAAAAGTCTTATTGCCTTAAGTTGGGATAAAAAATTACCTATAATAAAAATGATAGGAATCGATTCAGTAAATGATTCTGAACAAACTACTTTCTCAAAGTGCGTTAATTATGTTACGTGTAGTATATATACACACACAAGGAATACAATATCTATAGGGTGTAAGTGCTGCCAATCACATTATTTATGAGTTAATCTTATCATTGTAGCATGCAACAGATATATGAAACTAAAGTACAAAATGTTTGAAGATAGATGTTTACATAAACAAAAGTAGTTTTAATAAAAAAAATGATTGCTTAATCTGTGCACACCAGAAACACACAAGATATTGATACCAGTTTTTGACTTCATTCATGGGGCTGTGTATATATGCTTAGTTTACGACTGGCTATTTACCGCAACTCCTCGTCTAAGCGAATACTTTTCGTGAATGTATAAGCTATTTACAACTATGTCCCAAAAATATACAAAGTGTGGTTGATGGTTGTATATTATTGGTTATTTTTGGGGGTGGTTTTTTTATTAGTACTACTTTCACTTCCTTACAAAAATAGACTAGACTTTTACAGACTGTGATGGAAACCAAACTGCAGATATTCCGAAAGTAGGAAAATTAAAAAAAAGTTTAAAGGATATTATTAACTATTGTCTAAATTAATAAAATATCTTTTATATTTTATTATTTTTCTTTATATATTTTTAATGAGTCTCTATCTAAAGGGTCTCCGGTTCTCTAAACTCACCATACAAAACACAGTAACATTAAGCTGCTATTTTCCGCTGGTATTCAGTGAAAGCGTAGTCCTGCACCGGTTGAGCCGAGCCATTCGAAAATTTTCTGTTATTTAAGATTGTTATTGTGTAAGTTGACTGTTAGTAAGCCATATGAATAAAAATAAAATAAAAAATATTGAATTTGATTGCAGGGTGTGGGTGTGGGCGGCGCGTGTTTCGGCGCATGGCTGGCGGCGCTGGCGGTGCGCGCGGCGCGAGCGGGCTGCATGGCGGCCGAGCGTGGCTCCGTTGCCGCGTCCGGCGCCGCCTCGCGCCGCTCTAGCGCCTACCGCGCCGTGCCCAGCGCACAGCCCTCCACCGAGCGCGACCACCCCTTATAGCCCACGGACTTCTAAGCCGGCACCTCCGATAACCGATCGCGTCCGCCACCGCCGTACCTTTCGTGTCTGCGACCGCGTTCAAGTGCTGTGTGTTCCAGCAAAAGTGGTGCATTCCGTTTTGTGTTTGTGTGCTCTGTGTCCAACCGTGAAGAAGTGTGGCCCGCCCACAGCCCTCCACCTCGCGCGACCATACCTCTAATAGCCTACAGACTACTAAACTGGCAATAACACTTTTGTGCCTGCAACCGTGTTCCAGTGCTATGTGTTCCAAACAGAAAGGGTGTATTCAATTTTGTGTTTGTGTGCTCTGTGTCTAATGGTGAAGAATTGTTCAGTTGCAAGAATAGAAGGAGCTGAATTTGACTATTCCAGTTCTTGTTATAAGTTAGTATTGGCATATCACATATATCATTCTACCCATTTCCACATTTTCTTCTGATATGACTAGAGAAAGTCTTGAGATAATGTATGTAAATCCCTTTTATGCATATGTTGAATAAATGAAGTTACACATAACCTACATTATATAAATGTAAAATTACTGTGTCTGAATGCATAATAGATCACTCGGTGATCTTACTAAAATTTTATATAAAATTTTGTCAGTAAAATTCCAGTAAAATAAAAATGCTTTATTGGTTTTATTAAACTTACAATTTATAAAAAAATATTCTATCATGTTCTTATAAATTGTTTGTTAGTATGTTTCATAATTGTAACATAGTTTGAATTTAATTAAAAAATAATACTTAAATAATTGATAAAATTGGACAACTCTACAGAAACCATATTTTACGAAACACAATATTAGTGAATTTACTGGCTAAGTCTGTTCACTGCCACAACATCAATCATACAAGGCTGAATTTTTCCACAATTAAAAAAGAGCCATATTTTGTAGCTAAACGCACAATTTGAAGTTCTCTGTTTAGTTTATACACAATTCTCTTTTAGTATATTTATAAACATATACAATAGGCTCTTACTTGATTGTGGTTAAATAGTTCTAAATTCTACGGTCTTTTTAGGAGAATTTGTAAAAATTCTGGTCCTGATCAGAATTAGACTTGATGGATATCTTGAGTAATTGTGAAAAATTAAGACATTTGACATTGGATCAAAATGTGTAGTCAGGAAATTGAGTTGAATGAATTTGGCCTTGTGATGTCGATAGAATGGTAATAATTGTAATACCTGTTGGATTAGAATTGGTTTTATTGAATTGTGGATGTAATTATTGCCATGTGTAATCAAGCTGCCATATGATTTTTGCCTGTGAATTATTCACGTCCTTATTATATCTAGTCAGATAATCTCTAGGTTAACATTATGGAGAAATAGAGTTGAGATGCTGGAGCAGAGATTGTCTTTAGTGAAATGACCAATATTTTTATTACTCACTGTAAAGTAACTGTTATGCTACTGTAGATTTAACAGAAAATTGTGTTCATATAGTAACCCTTCATTGATCTCTTGTTTATTTCTTTACAATCTCTTTTGCCAAACTGTCAGTTGCATTTGTTTTTTTATATGTTTTATGTTTATGATCAATTACATAAGTGTGATTAGTCTATAGACTATACATATGAGTCCTGAAAACTATTATTTCTTAATCTTCCATTTTATGCGTGCTTGTCTTCTATTTCATGGACAGGTTCTATAGACATTTGCCTGACTTTTTGCTTAACACATTTTCAATTTATGAAAAAGTAATGCCATCTAGGAGAACTACTTTTAACTATGATAGGTGTTGGTTATTTAAATGAGTTTAAGAGTGTAACTGAGATATTTTCTGAGGCTGCATAGAAAGAAAAAGCCTTACAATTTTCAGAACTAACATTTATTGCAGTAACACAGAAGTTTTTTGTGTGAATGAACATAATTGCAGTTCAATTGATTGATGAAAGGACCACTTGATGGTGTCATTATAATTTAGTGGCCACCTCATCCTTATGCAGTAATATATAAGTTAGTTACCATATTACTTATACATCTGTGACCTAATTCTAAAACCTAACCAATTATGGTAATGTTAATAATTACTACTAATTTAGTCTTATTCACAGCTATCATTTCGGTTTATTGTAACTTAAGGTAAATTTGCATATTATGTAATAAAATAAATGTGATAAGTACTTACTTGTTTATTGATAATAGAGAAAAATAATTTTTAAAATGCAATTTAATCAATATCAAATGCAAAGACAACTGACAGAGCAGAGTCGGAATCAGTATCTTCACCGTTGCTGACTTCAATACGAATTTGTCGATCGTATTTTTCATTAGTCTATCTTTTTGCCAGTAATGCTCTTCCAAAATTATAATGTGATCATCGAATTCACACCAATCTTTTTCTGTCACCTGGTTTATAGTCATCTTATAACATATAACATATAAGCTGGTCCATTTTAAATGTTTTCTCATGGGGCGCATGCATATTTGTTATTCAAATATAATTCAAAAAGCTCGTCTTTTCTCATGCTTAGTGAAGCCTCTACATTCTAGTAAGCCAGTCTAACATAAACATTTTAGTGCTTGGTTTTGTAGGAACTTTATTTTTCTGAACACTGATACGGTGCGTTGTTCACAATGACAACGCTGGATGGCGGCAAATTGGGAATGAACATGTCAGCCGACCATTTCTCAAAGTTTGTACTGTTCATTTGCCTGTGCTAATCACCTGTAGCTGTAGCAGCTTAGAAAAGCAAGTTTGCGCCGTCCAAAAAACCACGTCTGGATTCGGTGTGAATGAGAATTAGTCTGTTCATTGAGCTGGTGTCAGTCAGTATCGCGACTATATAATCATTTCTTCAACACTTTAAATGTGAGGTTGTGAGGTCAACCCACATTTCGTCTTAAAATAAAATATCGCGATCATTTTCTCTATATTGACGAATTTTTGCTAATAGTTTGACCATGCAAATACAACAGCTGGTTTTTCTACCAAAATCCTTCGCTTGTGTAATTTTTGCCATTTATAGTCCATTTCCTTTAGTAGTTTTTGTAAACTTTTAGTCCCCCAAGGAAAATCATCAAATAAAATTCTGTACATCTGTGTGTCATCACTTCTATTGAAATCATCTACATTTAAATTCACCATTTTATTACATGATTTCCTTTTTTTTTACCACGCAATTTAAGAGGTCCATTTTTTGCTTCTGTTTGGATTCTAGACAATGTTCTTTTAGTAAGTCCAGTGTAATGGGCCGCTCGATCTAAAGCATTGTTAATGGGAAGAGCAAATATTATTCTCTTTTTTTTTCTTCAACACACATCTGTAGGATATTTTTCACCATTTCATGTAGTTGCTTATGTATTATTAAAGGTTTTTACTACCTGCACTTGCTGGAAGTGGAGTAGTCATGATTTATTCACGATAAAATAATATCGCTCGCGTCACAACCGTCAAGGACAACACTCAACTGCAGACAAATGCGGCGAGGTGGGTGAAGGCGGGTCGAGCTGCCCCCGCGGGTTGCCTCTGGCCCCGATAGACATGAACTCGCGTGCGTACTGTATTTAGTGGGTCTTGATATCAATTTTCCTGTTCTTCAAAATCAAACAAGATAAGTGCACTAAGTGAATTTTTTTTCTGTTGTTTTACATTAGTCACTACTTTACATTACGCCTCCCCTACCTAGTGAAAGTTAAGCAGAAAAATCATAAGAGAAAAAGGATAATAGTGATATACCGTTATTACGGTTTTTGCAAGTACGAGTAAATAAGGTTTCTACTTTTATTTGAAATTATCCCAAATTGAATGTGATTTATGAGCAACAACTACATGCGTACGCGTGCATACGCGTACCTAAATTTGTAACTTATGAATGTGTGCGTGCATAGTAATATAGTAGGCGTTTGATATTTATTATTTATGAATGACATTCAGTTAAAATAATTCATTACCTGAATTCTGAATTTAAAAGATAAAAAGGACACAATTATTGAGTTTTTTTAAATTAATTTCTCTTTACCATTCGCCCATATTACTTATTCTGAACCTTCTTTGCAAATTTGGGCGTATAATGCCCTGCCCTATGCAGTTAGTTTTCGGTATTCATATACAACACGTACGAATTAACTTGAGACTCCGCTGGAATGCGACCCCCTTCCCGACTCCCAGCACCGCGTCCCGCGCTGGCCGTGCGCGCTCAGTACCGATAGCATTTTTGTTACGGATACGCGTCTCGACTCTAGTTCGATATTTTTGATAATTGTTTGTTGTTTGGTTTGGATTTTTGTTTGTTTTTGTTATACTTGAACGTTATTTTATCTGTTTGTTGTTAATTGCATTGTTTTATTGTTAAGTTTGGACGTTGTGTTGTGCCGTTTTCTTGTGACGCTTAGGAGTTACTCCGCCTTTTTTTATTTTTAAAAAAAGATGGGAGGAAAGACAATACATAGCCAAGCACGGACACTTGCTCTAAAAGTTTTAAAATTTGAAAGTGTGTATGTTTATTTCTTTGTCTTTCCTTGACGCGTTAACTAAAAATAATATTATATATATTATAAAAAATAAATATTTAAAATATATAAAAATGGCAACAGTATATCACTTATTACTTCACCCCTTGCCAGAACATTTTATTTTGTTTTTATTAATAATCTCATGCAAATCTCAAAAATTTCAAATAAAAAAATATTACGACGCATTATTTTGCACACCGTACATTGACAATTACGTCATCGGCCCAGGTCTCAAGTTAATTCGTACGAGTTATAGTTGATACCTCCTAGACAAGTTTATAATAACCTATTTCATTTAGTATATTTTGGTGCTTGTTTGATATTTAAACAAACATTGGCAATTCCTCTGGTAGTTTGCGCAAATATTAACATGTTTACCTGCTTTGAAATTTTTAGGTGACTTTCAGCTAGTGCTATATAAGGTGGCTAAGATCTGAAGCATGTTGATATTGGTGTGCGTCATGTATTCAGAAGTGGATTTCGAAGCTATTATAAGTATTTATGCAAATTTTCTTAATGATAAATAATTTTGG